TTAGCTTGCACTGCTAATTCAGCTCGATTCCTTTTCTTTCGAATCTGAAAACAAACAAAAAAGGCTCGTCAATCGAAGGGACGTGCGAAATATTCAATTAAGCACTCATTCGGATATTTCGTTACCGACGGTCGGTAACAACTCGCGTACATACTGATAATTATACATGTTCTTTTTCTTTTTTCTTAGAAACGATAAGAAACTAAAACTGGTTTTTTTATTTACCACTATCTGATTTGTCTTCGGATGTTCCGTTTGTCAACTCAGGCTCCTTCTTCTTCTCTCCCTCCTCAGACTCCACGCTCGAGGCTTTCTTCTCTTGATTCTCCTGACTGGCTGCCTTCTTGTCCTTCGCTTTGCCCTTAGCCGGTGTCGCTGGTTTCGGTTTTGGCTCAAGGCTCGGATCCAGCACGATCTTTCCAATATTCTTGCGGTCGTGCATTTTCTGCATGGCTTCAGGGACATCCTCCAGGGCCCACGTCGAGTCTACCATTGGCTTTATCTTGCCCTCGTTCCATAAGGCAAACACTCGTTCAACTGCTCGTCGTACGAACGCGTGGCTGCCATGTTGGTACATCAAGTGACGAAGGTTCAGGCCAGACAATGTTTTGTTCTCATCGAATAATTTAATGGGGGACACTTTGTCCACTTGCCACCACTGTAATGTAATAAACGTGAGAATACCTTAAATTTCGATAAAGAACATCAACATACAGAATGATTCATATTTAATCTGTGATAATCTGAATGTAAAGGGTATTACAAAGTCAATGAAGTGACCCGTCAGAAATTTTTATTTGACGTCAAATGTATCGAAGTTTATTGAAAAGAAAGTGGATGACCTTGAAACATCCCTGAAGTTCAAATTCCCTGATGGATCCCCTCCTCGAAACCCCTTTTTTCCACCCAGTATACACTCAATATTCTTAGCTCATACTTCTCAGAGTAAGTCCATTAACTGATTAAACTAGCGACACCTTGCGATAAAACCCTAGTGCCATGTATAAGCTAGTCGGTGCTATTACAAGGAGGAAATAACTTCCGGTGCACAGTGCACGGTGCACGAAGAGAGAAAAAAAATAATAAAGCTAAATCACACTGATGACGTACTGATCGTGCTGCCGAGAAGAAGCTTTTAGTTTCTCCGGTAACCACGTTGCTGGACCCATAAAGGATATATTTCCCCATGGGTTTCAGCAAGGCGTATCCCTTATTACATTCCTCGCCGCACAGGCAATCCAGCACGATGTCCACGCCCTCTGAGGAGATCCTGCGGAATAAAAGAGAATCGAAACGACCGATAAAGAAGTCTATGATATAGAAACACTCTACACAGAGAAGGATGATTTATAGCACTTCATTACGCACTTCCTGACTTCGTTGCTGTAATCTGTGCCCCGTTCCAAGAGATGGTCGATGGTACCAGCCGCTTTCAGGGCTTCATGCTTTGATTTGCTGCATACACCGAAGATGGTCACGTCCTTCACGGTCTTGGCCAGCTGGACCACTGCCTGGCCCTACAACAGGAATCCATTAAGTGAATAACAATAAACAAAATACGGGAAAGGGATCCTGCTCCTTCATTGTTAATCTGGGACTTCTTATATTTAACAAATAAATAAAAATTGAATAAAATAATAAATAATAGTTCGAGCGATAACCTCTAAGAATCATACAAATGCCATATTGGCTCAAGACCAACACAGTCCCAGATTCTTTTATTTTCATATTTAACTTCTCTCGCCACTGCATCTTTCTTTTCAGCTCGTTATATACCCAAAAATCCAAAATAGTCCACACGGACCAACTTTTCTCGGAATATTTCTCTCGTAACAAATGTTATGCTCCGACAAAGTTAATTGATTCAGAATTCGTTGGTTTTATGGTAAAACAGATTTTTACACGCGAAGTTACACAAACTTCTATCCTTTAAACTTTCGAAGCAGCCAGAGGGCGCGCTTAAATTATTTTTAGTTACCCTGTCGCGTTCTCCAGACTCGTAATCCCATTATATCAAGGAAAAAGCATCCTCTGAAGTCTTTTCATCGCGCGACCGCCAAAAAACCAGCCGAGACAGTACACACGATAGTCGGCAGAAAAAATTGAAGCCGTGCTGCCGGAGATTTTCAACAGAAGCTGCATTCATTATTTCCGAGAATCGAGAGAGCTGACCCCCCCCCGCCGCCGACGAACGTTGTGGGGAATTCGATACCCAATAACGTTGACCAATCCTGTGGAGCCTCGAGTAGCCAACGAGAGAGAGAGAGAGAGAGAGAGAGAGAGAGAGAGAGAGAGAGAGAGAGAG